TATTGCCTATATCATCACAACCCTCTCCTAACTTATCCACTCCCTTCCCCACAGACCCTCACCATCGGAGCCGTGAAGTGCGTGCGCGTCTACAAGGCCGTCTAAGAGATCGGCAGCTGTCCACGACTGATCTATAACTATAACCAAACGACTACATGCATTGCAACTAACTCAGATAGCCACTATTGTTATTGACTAACAGTGAACTAAACTAAACCAAAAGGAACTGCACGCTCAGCATAATGTTAATTTATAATCGCACCCGTACACCCGCATTCGGTGTAGGTGAGATTGAGATTACCCCTCTTTCTCGGGGGACCAATTTCCAAATGCATTTGAATAAACTACAACACTGAAGTGCTTTAAAATTTCCGGACTTTGTTTTACTCATCATTTTGAGTTTGTTATTCACGATCACAAAGGGGGTTGCGAAGGTTTTTTACACGTACTAGGTGCTTAGCCGCACCAATCAAAATTATGTTAATGTATATTTTAATACATGAAAATTCTTAGTAATCCAAATAATTCCCCTGATTGGTCACTTGTGAGTATACAAATCGAGTAATCTTATTATCTTCATGAAAAGTAAGGTAGTAAGGTAGCAATAGAGTTCGGAGTGATCATAGTAATATTTTTGTTTGCTAGTTTAAATAAATTTTGCTAACATATGTATGTAGGGTTATAATACATAAACTACATCGATAAAGAGTACAAGTATAATAACATTGGCTCAAAGCCAGTGTGTTCTTTACCTTTTGTATCATTTACAGAAGTTCTACTATGAGTATGGAATGGTATAGGTCTGAATGGATGCTTAAACCTTACTTTTAGGAAGTACCTCCCACGCGTTTCCGCTGCGTTTCATTCGCGAATTCAGCCTCTGGCTAATTGAGAATGAAATACTGCACTGTTGAGGCTTTTGTGTTGTGAGTGGGTCTGTTGAGTGCGTCCCACAAGTGTGGGTGGCATCTTTGGGATTCGGGGAGCTGGCGCAGGCGCAGTTCTTATCACCGGAGAGTTAGCAACACGGCCACACTTTCCGCCGGGTTTTTGGTTAGCATTTACGGTTTGCCGGCAGCGTTAGAAATACGTGTATCCTATCCACATGACTGCCAGTTGCGTCAGTCGGAAAATATTAAACATTTTGGAGTTGGCCAATTAGGCGTTATAAATTAAAAACGAAGGCACCATTATCGATATGATTATTGTAGCACTAAAATGAACTGATAACCTGGATATAACCGTCGCGTGGGTGTGCGTAAACTAAGCGCGTTGTGTGTGTGAACTCATTGTGTAATCGCTGTGGAAAAAAAAGTTGGTCTACTTTGTGGCGTTCTCGGATTCAAAAATACAAAGTCAAAGGTTCTTGTTATTGTTCTTGGTGGAGCTTTCCAGTCCGAAAGCTTTGTCCAGTTTGTTGTTGCTGGCCAAACGGGTTTCCGATTAGAGAGAGATCTCCCGTGCCGTTCCAATAAGCAGTATCACGCCATAGCCGTTACTTTGGGGCTCGCTCTGCCCCACTCTCTGCACAGAAAAAAAATGTATTTACTTGGATCTATGAATTTTCTGAGAGGTCTACATGGAATAATCCAAATTTAAAGACTATTTTTCCTTGGGAAATCACACACCACATTATATCAGTTCCTATGGCCCGAATTGTGTATAGGCAATATCTTAAATAGTTTTCAATATACCATTGGTTTTAGAAATTATCAAATTTTTTTCCGAGTGACTTAGTGAGCGAGGGGAGAGTGGATCCCGCTCCATGGAGAGACCGTTGTTTACAAAACGCCGACTATTGGAACTACAGTGCTCTCTCGTAATTCTAAACTGATAAATGCTGAGTGCACCGCTCTAGGGAATTTTTTTCCTGTATCAGCAAATGGTCTTAATCGAAAATATTGAAAGGTTATCAGATTTTAAAATTGATTGACTTTCCCCAAGAGTGTCCCACATTACCCGTAGTTTACTTATCAGGGGGATCACTGTACTCGATTTATGGGGAGCACTGTAGTATACGCTTTAGCTCGTCGATTGGAAAATGGAATTTTTTTCGTAGCGCCGATCAGTTGAGATTCAACCGCTGTCCACGATCGCCGAGCTCTCTGTCGCCTTCTCTTTTCTGCTGCTGGGCATTCCAAAAATTTAATTATTTCGGTTTTTTGCATTCTAATGTGAGTAGTAAGAGAATAAAATTCAAAAGTGTGCTTCGCAAGCAAAAATTAAGTGCAACGTTTGCAAGAAAAGTGGGTTTTGTGAGTTAGTGTGTGTGTGGGAGTTTGTTTAATCAACCGCTTGTGTGTGCGTGGAAGTCGTTAGGCACTTTCCAGTGCCGACTTATCAGTAGGCATTGTTTATGTTTATCCAGATTTCCAGACCGATACTGAAAGTGGCTTAAACAGCGGAATATTATGAAAATTTATGAACTTAAATTTGCGATTATTATTTATGGTCATGCGAAAGTTATGTAATCGCTTTGAAACAGTATAATTTGTCAAGTGCAAAGAGCGAATCCAACAAGCCTGCTGATATAGTACCGTTCCCACTCAAACCACCAGACATTGACCATATCACCAGATCTTAAGCAATCACTATTGAGATTTGCTAGCATTTGGCTAGTGTTTGTGTTGGTTTGTCGACTATTCGTTCCCAGTTTGTTTTGAACCTTGTCCTCAAGGTTAAATTTTTGGGCGATAAATAAATATGTGTAGAGGGAAAGAGAGAGCTATTGATTACACTAATGGAAACTACCAATGATGGTACCACTGATTATTACCGCTGAAGTGGATTTTATGGAATATCAAACATCTGCCTTTTGAATGTGTATCCCATTCCCCATAGACAATTGCATAACTAAGGCAGAATTGCACTTGGACAAACATTTGATACGGAAATTAAGGTCAATATTGGTACAGAGGCGCAATTCAAGATTGCAATTGCCATTTAGATTTTACGTTTTCTTCTCCGATTCAATTCGATATTGTTAAGACAATATATATTCATATTTTATTTAAACAAAAACTATTTTGAAATCTATAAATGGATCTTATATAAGAGAAAAACATCATAACAAAGGCTACACGACCAAGAAATGTATCTTCGACTATTCCGTACTAACTTAATTCGTAGTTTCTTATTAGTTCAGTTTCAGGAAAAGTATTCTTTATGTTCTAATGAAGAGTCGCAATCAATATAATTTTTTTTTGTGTTGATATCTCTGTATATTTTAATACCGCTGCACCCCGCAAAAGTAGTCTATTTTGGTTCATCCGTCAACAATGGTTTATAAATATCTTTCAATCGAGCAGAAATCATCTGGAACCCAAGAGAAAGCGATAACTACTTTTAAATGTAGTAAACAAATATTTTTCCATCCCCAGCTAACTTCTCACCAGCCCAGTCAGCATGGATCGTTCGGGCATCTCGGCTCTGGTCAGTCCGTACCGCCGACGACCTTGGATGTCGGAGACCGGTGCTGCGGCCCCAGCCGGTGGACAGGTTGGTCTCAAGGGCATTGTCGCCGGTGGCATTACGGGCGGCATCGAGATCTGCATCACCTATCCCACCGAGTATGTGAAGACACAGCTGCAGCTGGACGAGAAGGGAGCCGGCAAGAAGTACAACGGCATCTTCGACTGCGTCAAGAAGACGGTACAGCAGCGAGGATTCCTGGGTCTTTACCGCGGTCTCAGTGTCCTTGTCTACGGCAGCATTCCCAAGTCAGCGGCAAGGTAAATTCCCATCAAAATTTGTTTGAAATCTTCAAAATCAAGAAGAACTAGTCACAACCCATTTTTTTTGTACATTCTTCAAAATGATATCTCTCAAAATGGCTGCACTATTTGGGAAATACATTTCTCATTATCTTATCACCTTTAAGTTTAGTAGTAAACAAAAAATCCAATACCTATTCTTATCATATAAAAAACATTCTTTACCTTAATCTCTAATGCTTTGTATTTCCAGGTTCGGCGCCTTCGAATTCCTGAAGTCGAACGCCGTGGACTCCCGAGGACAGCTGAGCAACTCTGGAAAGTTGCTTTGCGGTTTGGGCGCCGGCGTCTGCGAGGCCATCCTTGCAGTTACCCCCATGGAGACCATCAAGGTGAAGTTCATCAATGACCAGCGTAGCGCCAATCCCAAGTTCAAGGGTTTCGCTCACGGAGTGGGCCAGATCATCAAGGCGGAGGGCGTCTCTGGTGTTTACAAGGCCTTACGGCCACCATTCTGAAGCAGGGATCCAACCAGGCGATCCGCTTCTTCGTACTGGAGTCACTGAAGGATTTGTACAAGGGCGAGGATCACAACAAGCCTGTGCCCAAGTTGGTAGTGGGAGCGTTTGGAGCCATTGCCGGAGCAGCCTCTGTGTTCGGTAACACACCGCTGGATGTGGTCAAGACGAGGATGCAGGGCCTGGAGGCCTCCAAATACAAGAACACGGCCCATTGTGCGCTGCAGATCCTGAAGAACGAGGGACCCGCCGCCTTCTACAAGGGAACTGTGCCTCGATTGGGACGCGTGTGCCTGGATGTGGCCATCACCTTCATGATCTACGACTCCTTCATGGATCTGTTCAACAAGGTGTGGGTGTAACCGCAGCGGGCGGTCTTGCGACTTAGTTACTTAGTTTCCCCTCTCCCCAAAGTCCAAATATGCATTTCTTTCTCTATACCCATTGACCTAGTCGGCTGTTGCAATAGTTTCTAGTTCCGTGACATATTCCAAGAAAGCATTTTATACACATGTATATCCATTGCGGGTATATAGCTATAGAAATTATACAGCTTGTTTTAAATATTGCATTAAATCTGAAATATCTGTTTAAATATGTGTCTTTTGAGTACAAGGCTACGTTAAGACATTGGCTTCCAACGAAGAATGAGTTTGTTTTTTAGAGCAAACAGGATTATCATTTTAGATAAAATTTATTGCTTTGCGTCATGTTCATAAAACTAGCTGAAAATCCACTCAGTTAATGCACTGAGAACAACATATGTTCGTATAAAAAATGAATATTTTAATTGGTACTATATAATAGTAAAGTTTTCTTTGTAACTCGCTAAAGATATATTAGGCTAGGACAAACAAGTAATTCTTTAGATTAGATCTTTCACCAAGAAACGGAAGCGGGTTTGTTCAGTAGTAGGGATATCTTCTAGACATTTAATGATGATTAACGTATGTTAGCTTGAGACTAACCTACGCAATCAAATTTTAGCACCGTAGAATGGAAACATGATTGCATAACAGTCGGATATCTGGCAGACATCTGTTGGGGTTATCTTTAATAGCAACTAATAACGGATAGATTGCTTGCACCATAGATTAGGACAGATTACTCTAGTTTTAAACTATAAGGCATTTAACGCACAACGTTAAGCGGAATAGAGGCGTTCTTGCTGCTGACAATGCGTCCCAACATCTCATCGAGTGGTGCTCCCAGCTCCTGCCAAATGCACTTGCCGATTAGGGAGATTTCCTCCAGAGGCGGTCGAAAAGCCACCAGCAGATTCAGGCATATACCATCTTTGTTCTCCTGCTCCGAGGGCGAGTGTTCAACACTAAGTAAACCATGAGGTCTATGCTGTGGCAATTCCGCGCCAAAAATCTCAATCATAAACTTGCGCAGTGTAGAATGCAAGCTTCGATTCGGATGCAGTTCTACCGTGGGAAAGTGGTGGGCATTCTTCTCGCTTACCAGAATGTTCAGAGAGTTATGAGCCCGTTTCCTAGCCACGGCCAGAACTCGCAGATAGTTCCGCTTGTGCGAATAGCGTGTGGGCAGTATGTTGCCGTGCCAGGGAGAAGGGTTAGCCGCAACCTTCTGCCCCTGGTGGTAGGCTCGACCAATGTCAATGATGTTGAGTATATCGTTGGCCCGAAGAGGCACCTCCTTGGGGTTACGCACCCATCTCGCCTGGATAGACTCGGCATCTGCGTCCGCTGGCGTTTTAAGTCGGCCGCCCGTGATGCGTCCAGTGAGCACGAAGCGGAACCAAGAGCCACCAGCCGCCTCTACGGCAAGTAAAGTGGTCAGCTCCGCATTCAGACCGGTCTCCTCAAAGACTTCCCGGGCGGCTGCCTCAGTGATGGATTCGCCCCGCTCCATGCGACCTGCGGGTAAGTACCACTTGCCTGGTCAATAGAGTGCAACGTTAGCGGGTTCTAGAGGTGTGGTTTTGGGTATGTGGTATTTGGTTCTTGGAATACCCTCCTCACCTGCACAGCTCTGTTTGGCCTCCTCGATCATGAGCAGCTCGTCGTGCTCGTTGATCAGCACACAGGCCACAATGTAGGTGACTGTTTGGCCAAGAATGGGCACAAAATCGGAGGCTGATGAGGGCTGTACTCCTTGGGCCTCGGCGGTGGCATTCTGTTCTTTTAGTGAAAAGTCACACAGTTCCGTTGTGATGTCGCCTAGATCTTTGGCTCCAAGACGCGACGGACTTTCTCCACAATCGTAGCCATCCTAGCCTGTTTTGCTAAATGATGATGATTAGAAATTCGGTTCACAACTGGTAATACTCACTTTTAGCGCAGAATTTAAAGGCGGCTGACTCAGTTCGTTGAACATGCTACGCCCAGTCAAATCTCTGCATATATCTCCGGTTCTATATATGCAAATTACGAATTCTTGGGAGTGCTCTGCAAACTGAAAACGCTTTAAGAATCGTGGCGAACTCGAGAACGGGCGGTATGTGACTGACTGCGGGCTATAAAGCCCAATAAAATTGCCAAGACGATGGCAATCGACTTGTTTTTTGTTGTTCTTGCTGTCGCTACAGAGCTACACAGGTGCTGTGGCCTCTATTTCTCGCTATTTCTCTCTATTTCTCTGTATTGATATCGAAATGGATGTCAAATAAGCCGCTCGACGGGTTTTCTTCGGGAGAAAGTGCATTGGAATGTGTCTCCGTCTGCGCCAGCTGTTCGCCGTTCTTCTTGGCAGCCGAGCTCCGTTTATCGATCGGTGATTATTGCTATTGCACACTTGTTTTAATGCACTGTCATTTAAGGCCTAATTTAATTGATTCGTTAGAACGGCTGAGAACAGGTAATTTTGTTAGTAAATACGAAGGAGAGTGGCCACTGCCCGATCTGGCAACTCCACGGTTTGTTTACCTTCGTTAGTAAGACCATGAGCTGAAAACACCTGATAACGCCTTTTCCCATCTGGTATTAAACAGTCAGCCTGGTCCCACTGGCTAAATTTAAATTTAATTCAACCCCAAATGTTATAAACATTTCATTAACCACAAACACTTGACTTGTTTGCTCAGCCTGTTGTTGCGCCAACAATGCGATAATGTACATGTTATATGCTAATTTCAACGACGACATGCATCATTCAATTTCAGTGCGAATTTAGCCAACAAACAGCAAATAGGCGTTGCGCCATAGATTAATATTAAAGCGCATCGTTTATAAATATCCCAAATCCCATATCCCATCCGGCATATGGACAGACGCCTGTGTGCGTTGCGTTTGTGAGCAGGAAGCCTCGCTGATTGCCAGCAATAAAATTTGAATGCGGAAATTTCATTGTTTACCCAAATCGATCATCATTAAAAGCATTGCTGTTGCCATTCCCGGTTGCCATTGCAAAAGTGCCAATTGCCCCGAATCCATGGCGTATACTTAACGTGGGCGTACCACCCATTGGGTGGTGGTTTCGATTCCGGGGGGAATGTGGTGTTTCGACTACTGGTAATGGGCCTGCAAACGCGGCTGCCTGCGTAGGTAATTCAATTTTGTGCAAATGCTTGATTTGCCATTTAGCTGCGAGACCGAATCCCAGGGTCTTGAGTTTTGCCTGCACCGCAAAAATATTCTTAGGAATATTTCATAATTTATTTATAACTTGGGTAGGGAGCAGCGCTAACTTAAAGTGTTTAAATCAATTAGTATGTCAAGAACTACAGAAATGCGGAATATGTCATGCCAAATTTTGATACTAAACATTGTATCTATACGGGGGTGATTGGCAAATCTCTGGGGTTTTGAAATCACTTTAAATGTCATTAGGGTGCTAAAATTAAGAACAATCTATTTATATTCATTTATACATTCAGAAAGACTTTCCTTTACTGACTGCATATATTTAGCACCTTAAATGACATTTAAAACTGATATAAAACTCTATTGATTTTGTGACACACTTATAAACGAGTTTTAAATTCGAAGTATTATTACTTTAAGTTACTAAAAATAAAATCGTACATTATAGTGCCTTATAAAAATATAAAAATTTGTTTCCTGTCATCTTATTTTTAATGTAATATTTATGTTAGAATTTTTATGAAGCAAGGATAATGAAAATATGAAATAATATTTCTCGCCGTGCTTTTCCATTACTTCGCTTCCACTTAGGCCTACTTCAGCTGCTTTCTCCTCCACTTTCCCAACCCCTCCTTGGCCACAGTTCACATAAGACTTTTGTCATTATATTGTTAATTTGTTTTAGTTGTTTTTTAATTTCCTTGGAGAGTCGCAACCTCGCAGAGACTTACATACATGCGTGAGGACTCGAATGTAGTGATGGCGTTTGCTTGTTAGAATTTCTAAGGGGTGGGATGGGGTGGTTTGCGTTTTGTCTGGGTGGGTGTGCTAATGTACTGTGAGTGGATCTCTGGTAATAACGGCTAAAGTAAAATGCTGATAAAGTGGCGAGTGTTTCGGAATGTGCCAGTGTTTGTGCGAGCGGATTCTGCTGCGTGGCTGTATGATGACAGGCGAAAGCGAACACAAAACGTTCATTTCCCACATGCACCATTATTCGTTGAAACCCGTAAATTTCACCGAAAACGAACGGCAGCAGAAAGCAGCAGCAGCAGCAGCAGCAGAAACAGGAGCAGAAACAGCAGCAGCGCCATGGCAACAACGGCAGCACCAATCCAAAAGCTGCTTAACACGAGAATAATGTTTAAAATGTTTATTACGTGTGCAAGTGACGCGAGCTCCTTTCCCGCTCCTTGGCAGGCTCCCCTCTTAGATGACAGGCCCAAACGACAGGCCAATACGCACACATAACTCTGCACTGCCAGAAAAAAGGTTGTTAAAGTTAACAAATTTTAAAATTTGTTCTAGATGTGTTAGGAAACCATAAATGTTTATCAGACAAATTTAAATTACCATATATTTTCTAGGTTTTTATATTTAAAAATATATATCATTAATCCACAGAACTTTCCTTTTCCATAAAATATCTTTAAGTTGGAAAATGTAAATGGTTCTTAAAAAAATTGTTATGATAATATTTATACTATGGTACATTTTCTTAATTCGAGTCTTAATTTTTAAAAAATAACTATCCCACATATATAAATAAAAATATAATTTCCTGCACTCAATGAATATTGTTTCTGGTTCTTAAAAAAAAATGTTATGATAATATTCATATATGGTACATTCTTCTTAATTCGAGTGCTTATTTTTTAAAATATTCTGATCCCATATATAAATAAAAATATAATTTTCCTGCACTCAATCAATTTTGTTTAATACCTTTACAATTAGGCATACTCATCTTACTTACCACATAATTTATAATAGGATACGGAAGTAATATACTTACGTAATATTATCTGGCTGTCAACCATATTTTGTGCTTGCCAGATCCTGACATAAAGCCAAATTTCCGTAATGAGCATTATGCTTCAGACCGCTTTACAAATTCATAAGCCCTTTATTTGAAACATTCTGCCGGCCTGACATAAAATCCTTAATCATGCGAACATGAAATCAAATCCTGACTGCGTGTAACCGCTTTGCGTATACGAAATACCCGCTTTTTGTTTCTCTGTGCGCAGACATATGCACTGGGAATATATATATACGTATATGCGAATATGTATTTACATGTGGCAATGTTGATTTTCGTTGTGCCAACGCCGGATGCGAAACAAGTAGTCCAAATAACCCGCAATAAGCTTTTGTCACGATTAACAAGGCTTACGCAAATGTGTGTCTCTGTGGTGGGGAACCCCATCCCCATTCCCATCCTTCTGCCCAGCATTCCTAGCGCCCCCCCTTTTCCACGCCACTGTTTCCAGCATAATTACATGCACGCCATGCGTGAGTGTGTGGTGTGGTGCGTGGGAGTGGGTGCGTGTGTGTGAGCCATATTTTAGATTAATGATGGCGTCGACTCGTATTAGGCAAATGAAGAAATCGACATCGACATGCGGTTGAGGGGCAAGGTGAGCTCACCCCGTCGGGATTGTCAGGATTCGCAGGATTCCCAGGATTAGAAACCTCCGGTCCTGGCGCTTCCTCCATTTCTTTCGCCCATCCTGTGCGGTTTTCGCAGTACTTCCGCAGCAAATTTGCCACAACAATAAGTGCATATCATTATGCTGATTTAAGTGGGCACCCCACACGTACCCATCTATAGCGAGTTATTGCCCGTACACCTGACCCCAGCACTACGATCCCCAACAGAACCCAACAGAACCCAGACCAACCTACCCAAAACTCGCCCTCAAATGTATGCTACACAAGAATCGCGGGTCTGGAGCTCCTCGAGTCTCGCATGCAAGTGGGTACATAAATCTTTGTTTAAAGACACATGCACAATGTAAGTTAAATTGGCAATAACGTGCTTTCTTTTATACGCCAAGCCAAGCTCACAGCAACAAACATACATAGGATGTACATCTGCGACCACAGGTGCGGTCAGCCAAATAGCAATCGAGAAATTGCTCTTAAATACAGTCGAACTTCCAATGGTGGAAACTTTCCTAATTCAAACCAGTTGAAGTGGCTATCAAGCCAAGAGATACTCATATAAGCGATTCTATAACTGAAAGTTTGCCTTAAGTCTCTTCTTTGAGAAATGGTTATAGCAAAGTTTGATATGTACTGTTCTTTATAAGTTCATAATATAAACTTCTTATATCTTAAAGTTTTGTCTACTATGAGTTAAAAACTTTTCTATATGTTATTATTATTATATTATATTATTATATTATAAATATGTTATTTTAAATTAATTTGTTTTGTTAGCCAATAAAAACGATATATATAAGTGTATCTATCCTTAAAAATGTTAAAATATTTATAATTTTGATAATATTTTTTTTCTAATGACTCTATTACTTTTCTAATTGATTTGTCATGTTTTCGAACTAAAGATAATAAATATATGTAGCTGTCCCTTAAATCGAGTTGCCCTGTTTCTATCCAGTGTAGACCTCGGAATATTATCGTTCATAAGGAAACATAATTAATTATTTATGTCTATATTACCCTGCCCGAAAACCCTTAAGTGCGCGCACCGCTGGTGTGATAATAAAATGTTCATTTGCAGCGCTATTATTTTTTCCGAAACTGTGCTCCAACACAAGTACACTCGCCGACATGCATATATATGCAGATGTAGATGTGGCCGTATACATAACGGTAACGGAACCTTGTTTGCAAGGAAGTAACAACCTGTTTTCACCCCGTAGTTCGTGGGTTTTCGCCGCGGACGAAG